GTGCGCCCAGCGGAGAGCGCTGCCTGCGGGGGGAGCAGAGCCGGCTCCCGCAGCGCCGGGACACACCGCTCCCGGGGAGATTTTCCAATCTACACCTCCGAAAGCGTGACCTTAGCGGCGCTAAGAGTGTTAGCTCTATGAAGACAGCCAAGCATCAGGCTGTGCTCGCTGTTATCTGTCAGCCGTACAATAGCAGCATTGATAAGGCAGCAGCAACTGGCTTTGACAAGTGTGCTGTGCTAGCATTCCTCTGAAAACCGTGAAGGAAAAAAAAAAAAAAAAAAAAAAAGAAAGAGAGAGCGAGAGAGGCATGAGGTGCCTTTTACTTTACCTGAACAAAATGTGCGGTTTTATTTTTCCCTCTGAGCTGCTGGAAACGATTCTTCCCGCTTCTGCCCCAGAGCTAGGTATTTCTTCTTTTGCTTGCAGCTCACACTTGGGGAAGACCACACAGCTCCAGCAAGGCTGCCTCTCTCCCCTAATCCCCACTCGAGTGTGATGACACACACTAACCCCAACCATCTGTTGAAACACGTCCTCAAGCACTCAGCACAGTGGTGTGTCAAGACGGGCTGCCCAATCCAATCGCTGGGGTTGGGTGGCTCTTAAGGAGCTGGAGGCAGAGACAAGGGCAGAAAGTATGAGGCTGAGAACTCTTTAGCAAAGTAACCTGAGATTTTGAGAAAGCGCTGCTATTGAAAAAAAGAGCAGAAGGGGGAGGTACTCGCGGGAAGGTAGAGGGAGTGGATTAGTCTGGTGGCCAGTTGTGTAACTTCTCACAACTCCCTGTATTCCCAGGGGACCACTGGGACCCCTTCGCAGTGCGATGCACAGAAGCACAAGAGCAACACTAAAATGTTTTTGTGGCAGGTCTATTGAGGGCAATCTCTTCAGAGAGAGGCTTTTGTAAAAAAGATAAATGATGCAGTTTGAAATCCTGATAAAGTGCTACCGCGGGAGTCGTTTGCAGGGCGATGTGACATCTGCATCCCGAAATCCCATATCCTTACCGTGCCGCGGTTACCCCGTGGCCGCTTCCAGCCTTCCTGGGAGAACGGCGGAGAGAGGCTGGAGGAAAACCGGGTTTGGGGCGGGGGGGCGAGGCGGGGAGAAGAGGGGATATCCGAAAAGCAAATATTTCTGCTTCTGCACTCAGACATGTGCGAGTCCTTGCCCCGAGCCCGCGCTTCCCGGGAGGCGGGCTGGCCGCCCCCGCTCCCTGGTGCGGGCTCCCGGTACGGGCTCCCCGGCGCTGCTCGGTGCCCGCCCGCCCTCGGCGGCTGCAGCGCCCGCTCCGCGCTGCTGGGACAGCTCCGGCCCCGCTCCCCGCCGCCTTCCCCCGGCCCGGTTGCCACCAGCCTGTTGCTTCCCCGCCGCTGCCGCCGCCGCCCCGCAGCGTCCCGCGGGATGCGGCGGCGTTTGGGGGCGCTGCCCTGCCCCCGGGGAGCCGCCACCGCCCCGGCCGGGACTGGGGGCTTCGGGCAGTGCCGCGGCAAGCACGGGCTGTGGCTGGTCTGCACCTCAGCTTCCCTCTGCCGCAAAGCAAACATTATCACACCTTCCTCCCTCTCAGGGTCACTGCCAGGAAAAATGTACTAATTTACAGAAGATGTCCGGGAAGGATAGATAAGGGACACAGAAAAGCTGCTAAGTGCCAAAGAAACAGTTCTTTCCTTTCCCCTCCCTGTAATAGGATAGCGTGGAAGAGAGACTTAGAATCTCAAGGGTTTTTACCTCATTACCAAGTGCCTGACTTGACACTTGCATTAAATCTACATTTCACATTATGACAGATGTTGTGTTTTCTTTGAACTGAAAGGGAAGGACGTTGTTTTGGCATTAAAAGTTACTCTGAAAGTGTTAACATCCGACTTGAAGAAAGGTTTGCAATTGTGAAAAGACACACTCTGCCCAGCTATATGAAAGCCATATGAGGGTCTTGAAATGCTGATTTGGCTTACTCGTTCTTTAATACCTTACACAAGGCTGTTTCTGAATGACTAGTGGCAAAGTGAGTACTTAATAAAATGTGAGATTCAAGAGCTGGGGTCTGAGCCCAGATAGCTGTTAGCAAAGCTGACCTGGAAAAGAAAAGAAAAAGAAGAAACTGTATTTGCCTACGTTCTTCCCCAAAGTGATGATACAGTGCCTGTTTCAGTCTATTACTCTGAAACTGCTATCACAGATGTTTGGTATCCACTAAAACACTACTCCTTAATCTGCTAATTCTAGATAAATAAACAGCTGAATAATATTTTCAACAATAATATGTGGTGAAGTAGAGATGCAACTACTGTCCCTGGGGTATTGTAAGATTCTTAATGTTGCCAATTATATCTTCAGGGCAAGGGTTTGATTTGATTTTGTTTCATTCTAGCAGACTGTGATCTGTAAACAGACTGGATAACCTTACATACCCAAAAAGCCCTGGAGTCTTTATTGAGCTCATTTGCATTTTCCTTAGCTGTACTTCTTACCAGTATTTTACAGTAACTGCATTAAAAATCTATAGTGATCAAAGATGTGGAATATCAAAAAGCCCCTCAAATTGTGCTGCATCATGCTGTGTCCTGACTCACTTTCTAAAATGTAGCTCACCTCACAGATGCTCTTTGTTTATATTGGTCAGATGAGAGGCAAATTCAGCAGGGTTCAACCTCTAACCAACATGAATGACAGTTATGTGCATACAATGATTTTATTTTGTGATGTGGTAAATGCCTATCCAATGTCGTTTATTATATCTGAGTATAAATATACATAAGCAAGTTACTGAGCATTTGTGTGATGCACAGGCCAAGGTCTGTTGGTTTTAGGCCTGTGTGAGTCAGGGATGCCTCTGCTGATGCCTGTCAAGTCAAAGTACTGTAAAAGTGACTTGTTTAAAATGTCCCCTAATTTAGTGTTTTGTATACCGAGACACACATCCCCTCACATTTCTCTTCATAGTCTCTGCCATGACTTGAAATACAAATTTTTGTCTCTATTAGCCCTTAAACATCACCCATGATCATGTTTTCACTTAAAAGCTACTGCTGATGTTGCGGGATAATTTAACTGCTACTTGTGTGACTACAGCCAGATTTAGTTTGCTGTGACAGCTTATAACAGACTTTTGCATCACTTTTCTTCTATGCACACTGCCATCTGCAAAGAGTTTAGGTTTTAAAGGCTGAAATGAAAGCTTCACTGAAGAGCCATACCCGAAATGCTGTTAAAATTATGCATCATAAAACAGGTTCTCAAGTTGACTGTCAAACCCTTGAACTCTTGCTAAGGTCAGGCTGCCCCCACTCACATAAGACTTGTAGCAAAGTGAATAATGCTTTATGCAAATAACTCAAGACAATCCTAATATGCAAGATTAATTGTAAGTAATTGTGATATTGAGAAATAGTCACTCTTGTTTTGTTCCCACAGATAACATGTCCCTCACAGAGTAGTTCCAATTGGTTTCCATGGTAGCCAACAGCATCTTTAAGCCAGGGCACTGAGGTTCACTCTGTGTTGCCTAGACTTTAACTCACCACCTTTCTCCAGCACAGATGGCCTTGGCAGTTTTGTGTATCGGTGTGGAACACAAGCACGTAATCACACACGTGCACGTCTGCTCAAGAACCTCATGCAATTCTCAACTCTGGCATTTTCAGCTCTCAAAAATAATCAAAGGGGATTTTTCATGATTGCTGCAGCAACCTCAGTCTATCTCTCCTGCCAACATGAAGGGAAGATGACTTTTTGCTTCCTTGAATAATTTTATGTCTACCCTGGATTCAATTATGTTTGAAGAGTTTATATAGGAACAGAAGAGGTTCTAGAACATGACTATAAATCTGCCAACAAGTTTACTGTTAAATTCTAGCTTGAAATGCATGCTCATGCATGAATAGCATGCTCATGCTCCTGTTGAGTTTCAATGATATCTTGTCGAAAATGACATGTAATAAAAAAGCCTTTGAAATCCTGAATTGCAAAGAAAAGATAAATAATTAAAAACCAATGTTTCTTTCTAAAGATCCCAGCAAACAGCAAGTTCCAAAAATCACAGGAAGATATGTTTCTTCATGTGGAGCACAGTGAAACCTTGGAGCAGCTTGCTGCAGGATGCAGTGGGGGATAGAAATGACATGTATTCAAATGTTTGGACAAGTTCATGAAAAAAAATAAATACTCTCAGCAATTAAATACAAATATATAGCTTCTGGTACAGGGAATCCCTGAATCACCTGGAGTGGATCCTGGACAAATATTCCGTGCTTGTCCTATTCTTACACTTTACCCCAAGCATCCACTATTTTCCACTGCTGGAGGGTGCCAAGCCTAGTATACCCATGACTTAGTGTGGCACAGCTGCTCTTTCTTTCTTAAAGAATTTGGCAGTTTTGGGGCCTCATGGTGGGTAGTATAAGAGAGATGAATTCCTTTTAAGAACTTCAGCCAAGATTTTTAGAGGTTGGCTCATAAATCCATGTTCAGGAGCCTTAGTAAAAAAGGTCTGATCAAAAGTATTGAGTATACAGCAGCTGCTGGTGAAGCCAGCATTTCATTTTCTTTTTCTCCATATGTGGGCATTCCAAAGTCAGACATAGGCTCATGTGAAACTTGTGAGCTAAATCCCAAACTATGTTCTGTGCAAATGTCTGCTCAATTGTTTCTTAACCTGGAGTCACCTAAATTTCAGAAACACATGGTCTTTCAGAAGGGTTTCCTCCATGCTGGAAGCCCAGAGCTGTGCAAGATTCAGGATTCAGGCACCCCTTCACTACAGTCGTCTGAATTGATTCAGTTGGCTCTCAGAACTCACCTACCAAACTTGGAGACATTTGAGTGGCACAGCTAAAGATCAAAAACCTGGCCAGAGGAAGAAGAAATAAATAACATTTAGGCACGCAACCATATACCCGCTGGATAGCTTTCTTCTCACTGTCCCTGCTCAAACCCATTCACCTGAACAAAATATTCCAACAATGACTATTCTGTGTAAAAACACCATAGGGTTAATGTACAAAAAATATTGAGAAATTTGGTGAGTCATACCAAATTTACAGCACACATGAAAATGCAGAATTCTGTATCCTAGAATTCAGGACCCTAATCCAGGCGTCCCAGAACAATTTCCATATTTTCTGGGGAAATGAGCATAGGCCTATACACGTACTCTCTTAGCAGGAAACCATACATGTGCTAGCTACAAAAGGACTGCTTTAGAAATGCATTAAGGGCAGAGTTCCAGAATCAGGATTACCTGCCTGTGCAGAGCTCTTGTGGGATGGAAGGATATAGACTTCAATTTTTTAAGGAAGGTCTTCTGCCTTGCTCCATCTTCCCTGCAATGGAATCAGATGGTGTGGAAGTTATACCCAGCTACAATCTGTCTTTGGACTGCAATACTAAAAACAGTTCCCCTGAGGAGTAACCAGAACAGAGGATAGAGTGCAGGTGAGACAGACAAAAGATCATAATTGACTCAATTCATCACAGGGCTTTACAATTTGTCAGATTGTTGTCATCACTATCACTTGCCTCCAGAAGAAGATTAATAGTTGAAATAATTGTCAGTCTCAAATTTGTGCTTTTTCACTTACACCCACTCTCAAAACACTGATTCTTTTTGGTTACTATTTCTTCTAAGGTAACTCCCTCATTAGTGGTTGCATAGTAATTCACTACCAAACAAGGTCACTGCAATTAAAAGGCATGTGTCTTACCCTAGCAGAAGAGCTGATTAGATTTTTTTTATTTTATATTTTGGTATCCCAGAATTAAATA